CACAAGGTCCACATGGCTTCTGAGTTCAATGGTTTCTGTTAGCCAGAGTTCCAGAGTTTATTCCCCCCACTCTTGTTTTTATAGCAATATTAATTCCATTCCTATGAACTGAGGTTTGGATAAGTTCCTCCTTGATTTTTAAAAACATATTAGCAATGAATCAGAATGAGTCCCCAAATAAGAAAAAAAAATTACACAAAATTCTGCATGATTCCATTCATATTAGACCATAAACTCATCCATTTTTTTTTACACTTTATACTTCTTTTCCATCATTTAGTCTTACTGGGAAAAAAATGACTAAAATATTCTCCTTTCTGTCCTTTACTTAACCAAGTAGTCACTGAAACTTTCCCTTGTTTGGCAAGATAAAATGAGTGAAAATTTTATTTGGGAGTTAGTCCTTGGGAATTATTGAACATAAAGTTCATAGCCTTTTCTCTTCCTTGTAAATGCCAAGTACCAACTATATTTTATAGTCTCACTCAAAGAGTGAGGTAGCAAGGTATGTAATACACACAACTACTTAATTAACGTCTACAATGATTCCATTTATCTTTTTAGAATATAATACTTTAAACCACAGTGCTCCAAAATAGATTTATTTTCAAGCTGAAGTGTACTGTCCATATTTAACTTTAGGGTTTTATAAGTTGATATTTTAACAATTGAGACTCACAAGGCTCTAAAATTGAAGGTTGAGGACAAGTACAGTGGCCTAATATAGTGTATTAATAGTAACTTGTAGTTGTTTTGCTTTGTCTTTAATCACTTGGTAAATTGATGGGGTTCTCTTTTTTGTCTTTTTTTGGACCTGGGGGTTGAACCCAGGGCTTTGGTGATTCGAGGCAGACACTTTACCACTGGAGCTACATCCCAGCACTCTCACTTGGTAAATTGAAAAGGCCAACATCTTTCTTGGTGAGTGAGTGTAATACCCTGATATCACTTGGCTTTCGAAGAAGAACTAGCTTGAAACAGTGACTTGTTCACTGGCAGCTGAGTCATTGAATAAGTCAAGGATAATTTTACTGTTATTGCTGTAAACATGTTTCTGACACTAGAACAGATGTTCTAATCTAGTTTAAAGAATAAAAAGAGAGAGAGAGAGAGAGATTGGTGACTTCAAAGTTTTAGTCCTCCACCAGGACAATATATGTGAATACATTAACTTAGATTTCCATTTTGTGAGTTTCCCTTTGAAAACACATAGTTTGATTAAGGGTTTGTCAAATCACTGATTCAGTAACCAGAATAAAGAGCAACTGAAGAGCATTATGGGGCGTGAAGAGCCACAGTAAAGTTGCAGAAAGTCTTTTAAATGTGATGAAGCCTTTTGTGCGCTGCCTTGTGCTCATCAGCGTCACCGCCAACATGTCTGGATTGTGCCGTGCCGCTCAAGTATGGGGGGACGTGGTCATGACAGTCTATTGATGAGGTGAGGTTTGAAAATCATGCTTCCATGATTTTCTGAGAACTATTAAAGCAGTAAGCAACTATAAGAATTTTTTCAAATGCACTAATTTTATTAATAAGAAAGGGTCTGGTGGGTTATCCAAAATAATATATGAGGCACAGTTGGGGAAATGTTGGAGTGGAGATACCATGCCAGTATGCCAGATATGCTCCTGAGTATATCCCAAGTTATGTTGGGCAGTACACATACAAAACATGTTTGAGAAAAAAATTGGCTGGATTTGAATTGCTAATGATTTAGTAATCAAGTCATCAGCAAGCATCTATCAATATTAATGATGATGTTTATCCCTTTTTATTAAACATTTTGCATGTATCAGACCTTATGCTATGCTCTTAAATTTTGAGTTTACTATTATTATCCTCATTCAGTAAAAGAACAAACATTAACTAAATGTTGACAAACTGTGAAGCTGAGATTAGAAACTGCATCTATCTGAATCCAAATGGTTGTTTGAAAATAGATGTTTGGATGAGTTAACTGTTGCTTGTTTCTTTTTTAAATATTCTCTTTTTTTTTTTAACATTCTTTGGGGTGGGGTTGAGTAAGCAAATAGTGAGAAAAGATAACCCAAGGATCAGGAATTGATGCTCTGCTGATAGAAAACAAAAAATCTTATTGGGGAAAATGGAGACTAGGAAGAACCTCAAGTGAACCAAATGAAGTTCTTTTCCTTCATCCCTATTCACACCCCTTGGGAGGAGCTTGGATTCATTGACCAGGAGCCACAATTAAAAAGGCAAACAGAGTGGAGCCTGAGCTAACCCCATTCATTCTCTGAGGATGATCACTTGATGAAGCTCCTAGAGGACTGGACAGAGGTGGCAGGAAGATACATGAAGCTCTACCAACTTTCATTTGGTATAATTGCTCATAGAAAAGAATATAAAGTCACTGTATTAAACAGAATTCCACAATGACAAAGTGAGAAGGCTAGAACAAGCTACACATGCCCTGAGCATTCCTAAAGAAGAAAGAATGGGTTTTCCTGGCTAAAGTTGCCCTGGAATTCTCTTGGTCTCTGATACATACATATACAAATATATGTGTATATAGAAAGAGTCTCTGACTTTTGCTAAATTCACTTAGGAGTTTTTGACTTAACAATGGTGCAAAAGCATGCCCATACAAACATTCATTTTTTTGTTGTTGTTTTCAGTACATTATTCAATAAATTACCTGAGCTAGTCAACAATAGGCTTTAGGTTAGATGATTTTGCCCAGTGTAAGTTAATGTTTCTATGTATTCTGAGCACAGTAAAGACATGCTGAGCTAAGCAGTGATGTTCAGTGGGTTAGATGTATTAAATGCATTTTCAATTTACTATATTTCCAATTTACAATAAAGTCTATACATATATCATTTTGAGTGTTTGCATTTGAATTTTCTAATTAAACTTTTTAGTATAATCTTTTGTTGAGTCCAGTCATGTAATTTAAATATCCTGTGAGTGCCTGAAGAAGGAAATATGCCATGTGGCAATATTCCATGGGACTGCTTGGAGAAATTCATGACATCCTGCCATGAGTAATGTTGCAGCTTATATGTGAAGCTCCCCAGGTGTGTACCTATAAATGGGGGAAGCATGGAAGACATCGAGCCTAGTTGCTAGCCATCTGTTGGACCGAATTTTCCTTAAAGAACAATGGGTTTATTGATGTAGGGAAGAGGAGCACAGGGAGAGAGGTTTTAGGTATTTTTAGACTAAAGTCCACACTACTTTTTCTCGGCAACAAATACACTTCAGGATTATCACCTAGTATTCTCTTCCCTGCCTCTGCATCCCTGGGGCATAATAATTCTGTGCAGCTCAGAGCAAGATAGAATCTTCTGGACAAGCACCACTGAACCATTCCTTGGGGAATGAGCTTTCCACTAGAGATCTGGGTACTTCTAGTGAGGTCCCTGTCTGAGTATGTTCACAGCTTCTGTGTGTCTAGTCCTCCATCACAGCGGACTAGATGGCCCCCTGCATTCTTGGCAAAGAGCAGGAAGAGCAGAGTTAGCTGGGAACTGAATGGCTTTCCGCAGGAAAAACCTGACTTCTTCTCTTGATGGTGTCCAAGGGGGATTTTTTGTTTGTTTGTTTGTTTCTTTAAGATTTCCAACCTCCCTCTTTGGTCTCATTACTGCCAAATTGCACACACACATGCCCTTTTTAGCTAGGCATTTTCTGGGCCCTCTGGCTGTGTCTTGATTTCTCCTGGTTAGGGTCCCATGCCGGGCCTGGTGTTCACAAAGTATTGCACGTGGGGAAATTGCCTAATAAATCATAGTGATCATAGGCTCCTTATATAAATGGAGTTTTTCTTCATATATCTTCTACTTGGTATAAAATGCATCGAGGACTGATTTTCTATGAGTAATTGTGCAATTTTATGCATTTGCAAGAACCCACGTCTTTAATAAATCAGACCTTTGGATTTCTGGGAGTGTTTTTTTTTTTTTAATACCATGAATCTGAATATTTTGTAGGGTTTGTGGTCTTTTTTTTTTTTTAATATTCTGGCTGGTTTTTAGTTCACTTGGTGGTGTTGGCTGCCGACTTGTAATTTCTGCTAGAGTTGAATTTTCCATCCAGAAAAATTTTATAGCTCTCTTATGTTCACAGAGACCAGGACAGACACTTCGCCAATTTAACCAACTCCATTGATGAACTGAGAATCTAAAGCATGGGCCAGATAATGGATGTGATTCATATCTTACAAGAACACCCGTTGATTTGCCTAGGATCCAATACTGGCCTCTTGTGAATAACATTCTCCAGCCTCTCATCAGGGTATGTTGTAATGTGCAAGGTGGTATCCCACATGACAACACAAATGTTATCCCTCATTCCTAGCACTTATTCTCTGGGTCAATAAAACCTTTTGGGAGTGATGCAGTATCCACACAGTTGTGAATATCTTTCTTTGTGATTATGTATGAAGTGAAAGTATGTTTAGGGTTCAGAGATAATGCAGAATTATCTCTTATAGAACCAATAGACTGGTATTATGAAGAAAAATTGTGTTATAATAGTCTGTTGCATGGGAAGGCTAAAATGATTTTAGACTCCTTCATTGTGTTTCAAAAGAATAATCTCAAGAGAATGACAGATACCCCAGATGTCATTTAAGGATAGCTGACATAAGGCATTACTTGCCTAATGTCAGATTTCAAGGCAATGAACACTCAGCACTCAACTCATTGTATGTAATCTGGGTTGAGCTAAAATTAATGCTGATTATTATGCATGAGCACGTATTCTAAGTGAAGCTCAATTCCATGTAGGAAACAAATCCTTCAGAGAAGCTAGAGGAGGGGAATTAGCAATAGTTGAGCACTTGCTATGTGACCCATGCCTTTCTTTTATTAAACTTAATTAAGTGTGGAAAGACCAGTGAATCCCATTTTCCAGATTAGCTATTCAAAACAGGAAAAATGAAGTCACATACCCATGTTTCTCCAACCACTAATGGTATGTTCTCCCCACTTCAAAGTTATCTCCTTAAACTCATACTAAATATTGAGTCTTCAGCAAAATTTGGTAAATGCCATCTGAGATTATTACCACTCCCAACTTTCCTCTCCTCACTTCAGAGGGGATTGTTATTTAGATGTGCTCCCTCATGAGAGTTTGTGCAGTGCCTAGGACCCAGCATTGCACTAGGGACTAAGGAATATATGCGTGGAATACAAGATCATGCCTGTCTTCTAAAAGCTTGTAATCTAGGTGAAAAGGCCTGGGTTAACATCAGATAATAACTTAATAAAAAATATTATTTATCACCCCCTCCATCCATTTATTCTTTCATTCACAGCCAATGAAAGCCATTTTTTCTAAAGATAATATATTTTTGCATGAATTTTATAAAGTATTATTGTGGTAATACATTCAGAGCACGAAATTATCATTTTACCTATTTAGATAGATATTTTGTGGTATCATATTCACGCTGTTGGGCGAACATCATCACATCATTCATCTCCCGAGATTTCTCATCTTCCTCACCTGACATATGCACATTTAACACTAACTGTCCAACCTCCCCCCCAGCCGTGGCTACCACCACACTACCTTCTGTCTCTGTGAATCTGACTATTCTAGACATACATGTAATCATGCAACATTTTTCCTTTCATAAAATAAATATTATTGTTTATATTTAAAGTATTTAACATAATATAAAATGCATATATAGCCAACTAGTTACATTAGTGAAAGATGTATGCATCA